TACCACTTTAGCACCAGTCAATGGTAAAAGATGATGTTCCTCCAGTATTTAGTTAGTTAGCATTAAAGCTGAGAACCAATTGTGTGATCTTGTGGAGTGCTGTTATTGACAGTCTGTCACTTACCATTATTATACCTTAGACTTCATGACACCGGTACCACATGACTCGATAATTTCTGTTAGAAATATAAAAAATGATGGAGACAGGAATCAAAATATCCACCACCTTCCTCGAGAACACTAATTAGGTATTACCATATTGATGTAACATTACAATATCCTTTAGATGGAATGATTTCATGGAGCTAATGAGACAAAAACAAGGAAGTGGAACTGACCACTGAAGCACAAACATTTTTTGAACATGATGATTGGCAGATTTTGGATATGATGATATCACTACATGGCCCCTTACACCACTTGTGCAACACATCTTTATAAAGATGCGATATTTTACCTGCAATTTGCCTAATGGAAGGTGGTGTCCTAAACAAGGGATAACATGTGTTTGGACACTGAGTTTATTTGACAAGTTACAGAAAGGAATAATATTGCGATAAAAATGACATTGTAAATAAGAGGTGGCCCTATTAATGAGCACGATGACATTACAGTTAACAATGGGTAAAAGTAATAAAACAAGCTGATAAATGTATTGTTCAAAAATATCCTAATGATTTGTAAATGCTAAGTTTGTTTTGAACACAAACAGTAATTGAAAATGTATTCCTCAAGCTTTTGAAAATGTCTGTTTCTTTTGTCAAGTAAAAAGTGCGAACGACCAATGTAACTCCCTGAGACACAATCAGTAAACTCAGCTGCCCCTTATTGGATGTTAAAATGAGGTCATAAAAATGACTCAGCTGGTGGCCCCCCTCGTCTCTGTTAATTTATTCTCCTTTCTTCCTAACCCAAATAGATTCTTTGATTTCCCTTTCTTTCCAGTTGTCTTGTGTTTCAAGCATTTAAGAGTTGTTCCAGTCTATGATGTAGTTGTGTACTGATGGACCTGACTGGGTTGTTAGTACACAACTCCTATAGGTTATTTATTTACCAGGTATTGTCTAATTGTTGTATAGAGTTTAGCAGGTGTGCTTGACATACACAACCATATTTGTTTAGAAAATATTTAAACATAAAACAGTTTTCCAGCTTGTGCTGTCTGACAGTCATATACCTGATCCTAAGAAAGCCTATAAACTTTTGTATGTGTTGATTATTTTTACATCTCACGGTACACTGATGATAAAATAGTTGAAAACATGTATATCAGAAAGTTCTACTTAACCTTAACACAAAGGAGAAACTGACAATGTTGTATGTGGCAACTGTTTAGATGTGTACTGATGAATCAGTTCCTTAAGGTGTCTCTTTATACATGAATGGATTCATAGAGATAGTAAATCTAATACAGTAAAGATCAGCTAGCTAGTGAGGATGTTTTTTTATATTGTTCCATGTTTATGATTTCTAGTGTTGGTTTACTGGGCTGGAATATTGGTGGTTTGCATCTGATGCTTACTGTGTGGTCTGTGCCTCCGTGTGGGGAACGCTTCGACAGGCCTCATCCGTGTTAAATTGTCTGTGTCATTGTCCCTCTAAAGCGTAGTCAACACAGGAGGTAGAAATTAATGGCATGCAGCAAAAAAAGGATTCTTTCTTTACACTGGATTGATTCTACAAATCTACAATATTTGAACCCCTATATTTCACTGTAATTTGCTGCATGGAACTAATGATAATAGCAGAATTTTATACTTGTTCTGGTGAATTTGTTTAGTGAGCAAGTTTGCAATTTGAAAAATGCTTTTTTTGTAGATTTGTAGAATTAAAATCTCACATTCGAAAACCTTCGCCAAGAAAGCAATTTCAGAATGATTTAAAAAGAAAGCAAAAATTCAAGGACTGAAAAATCCTCATGTACATTACTGTATGTTAGGATATCAACATTCGAGTGGGGTTTAATGAGAGTATTAACACCCAAGGGGGTTCATCAAAATATCAACATTCAATTGGGGTTTTAATTAGGATATCAACACTCAGTAGGAGTTTAAATTGGGATATTGACATGCAAGGGTTTTAATTAGGATATTTACTTTCAATGGGGCTTTTAAGGTGCTAGCTTGATGTGAGGTTCTTCTCTCAAATACTGTTTCTCCTTGTCTGTGTGTTGATGCCCTAATGAGAGGAGAAGCAGCCAGACGTTGTGGCTTATTCTTGTTACCAGATGTTTTATCTATTTATTGGATTGTACAACCAGTGGCAGAACCCTACCTTTATCGTTTTACAGTATAGCAATTTACTGTCATTGAGGAATTAGTTACAGATCATTGCTAAATATACTTCATCCCCATATAAATAGGCAATCGATAGGTCCATTGTTAAACTCTTATATTTGAACCTCTATATTTCACTGTAATTTGCTGCATGTTGGCTTCAGCTTGAACTCTTTTTACAACTATATAATGTACCATTATAGATGGTCTGATGAACAATGTGGTTCCTTGACACTTAAACAGTTTTGCCCCCAACCCCCCTACCACCACAACCACCACAAACTTCTTTCACAGAAATGTCATTTGAAATTTCATTAGAATAAAGGTTAAAAACGAAACATACATCAAACTGATCAGTTAAGTGTGTCAGAAACTCTCAAGTAAAGCTTTACTTTTGTTTTTATATTTAAGTCAAAATGTATGCAGGAGTTGGTGAAATTTAAGTAAAGAAGCATATTAGCCAAGCTATAACAAAACCATGAGAATTTGACTACACCAGGAAAAGATAACCTGAAGAATTCACCATTAATCCAACAGATTCTCAGGAAATGGTACATAATGTTGAGAATCATTTTTGTGTGCATTTAGATCATTGTCAACTCAATTTACAGTCCTAAATACCAATGAAAACTTAAAATAACTACAGGTATATTAGGTAATACCTACGGGTATATTAGGTAATACCTACGGGTATATTAGGTAATAACTACAGGTACATTAGGTAATAACTACAGGTATATTAGGTAATACCTACGGGTATATTAGGTAATACCTAAGGGTATATTAGGTAATAACTACAGGTATATTATGTAATACCTCCGGGTATATTAGGTAATAACTACAGGTATATTAGGTAATACCTACGGGTATATTAGGTAATAACTACAGGTATATTAGGTAATTCCTACAGGTATATTAGGTAATACCTACAGGAATATTAGGTAATACCTACAGGTATATTAGGTAGTAACTACAGGTATATTAGGTAATACCTACAGCTATATTAGGTAATAACTACAGGTATATTATGTAATACCTCCGGGTATATTAGGTAATAACTACAGGTATATTAGGTATACCTACAGGTATATTAGGTAATAACTACGGGTATATTAGGTAATAACTACAGCTATATTAGGTAATAACTACAGGTATATTATGTAATACCTCCGGGTATATTAGGTAATAACTACAGGTATATTAGGTATACCTACAGGTATATTAGGTAATAACTACTGGTATATTAGGTAATACCTACAGGTATATTAGGTAATAACTACTGGTATATTAGGTAATACCTACAGGTATATTAGGTAATTACTACAGGTATATTAGGTAACACCTACATGTACATTAGGTAATAACTACAGGTATATTATGTAATACCTCCGGGTATATTAGGTAATAACTACAGGTATATTATGTAATACCTCCGGGTATATTAGGTAATAACTACAGGTATATTATGTAATACCTCCGGGTATATTAGGTAATAACTACAGGTATATTATGTAATACCTCCGGGTATATTAGGTAATAACTACAGGTATATTATGTAATACCTCCGGGTATATTAGGTAATAACTACAGGTATATTATGTAATACCTCCGGGTATATTAGGTAATAACTACAGGTATATTATGTAATACCTCCGGGTATATTAGGTAATAACTACAGGTATATTAGGTAATTCCTACAGGTATATTAGGTAATACCTACAGGTATATTAGGTAGTAACTACAGGTATATTAGGTAATACCTACGGGTCTATTAGGTAATACCTACGGGTATATTAGGTAATAACTACAGGTATATTAGGTAATTACTACAGGTATATTAGGTAATACCTACATGTACATTAGGTAATAACTACAGGTATATTAGGTAATTACTACAGGTATATTGTGTAATTCACCTATTGATCCTGTAACTGGTACATAATTCTGAGTGCATGTATCATTTAGTTAGTCTGTGTATTTCAAGCATGCTTGGAATTTGGTGGGTCATCAACATATTAAGGACTTTCCACCCTTCGTAATACACATATTTGTCTTGTCTTATTTCCTGTCGTCACTTCTGAGTTGCGTATGTACCTGACATATAAAATATCATGCATAAGCGGGCTATGGAATGATGTCCAAAGTGTATATCATTGAGACTAATTTTTTCCATAAATTAAAAAACAGTAAATTAACAATTTTAATATCATAATTTAATTAATTTCCGTCGTTTTAGGTAGAGTAAAGAAAATAACTGTCATTGTATAAATGTATCCCTATGCAAAAAGTTCCGTTTTTTTTTCTCAAGGTAGACAACTTTCATCAGGATCAAAAAGATTGTAAAATGTAAAATGAATGAATTATAAAGAGTTCGTGTATATTTGGTTCAATTTTTCACTCTTTTTGTATGAAACTATGTGTCCTTTTAGCTTGTATAAAATAATAAGTTTTACTACCAAGTCTAACAGAATCATTGTCTGGAGTTACTATTCTTCACCATGGAGAGATGATGATTCCGACACATGTTGGTAGAGCCTTTACTTTTTGTTAAGTCAAGCTACCAACGGTTTGTTCCAATATTTAGTTATTTCTGAAGTTTCCCAGTGGTATTGTTATTGGAAATTTCTGACTGTTAAATACTCTCGGAAATCAGAGAACAATCTGGTGGGAATTCTGTAGGTGATGGTAACGCAGAAGGGTATTTGTTTGTACATTTTGTTCCAGGATGTAAGTACTCCCAGGGGGACTGGACCGATTGTGACATGACAACTGACACCATGAGTAAGACAATGACCTTGATCTCTGGAGAAGATGTGTGTGAACAAACCATAATTGTCAGGGCCAAATGTAGGAAACGTAAGTAGCATGGAGGGACTGACTGCGCATTTAAACATGTTAAGTAAATTGCTCAGGATAAAGACTGGAATCTTAGTTTTCATAGTATTATCCATCATAACTGCATTTTCTCAGCTCAGTAAATTTGATCTGTTTCACGTTCTGTCTTAAGACATGCAGGGAGAGTGGAGACAACTGGGGAGATAATTACATTCTATTATGTATGCTACAAGGAGAGTTGAGACATGGGAGACAATTGTATTACATTCTGTATGCTTCAAGGAGAGTGCAGACAGGGAAGATAATTACATTATATTATGTATGCTACAAGGAGAGTGGAGACAGGGGAGACAATTGTATTACATTCTGTATGCTACAAGGATAGTGGAGACAGGGGAGATAATTACATTATACTATGTATGCTACAAGGAGAGTGGAGACAGGGGAGATAATTACATTATATTATGTATGCTACAAGGAGATTGGAGACAGGGGATATAATTACATTATATTATGTATGCTACAAGGAGAGCGGAGAGAGTGGATATACTTACATTATATTATGTATGCTGAAAGGATAGTGGAGACAGGGGATATAATTACATTATATTATGTATGCTTCAAGGAGAGTGGAGACAGGGGAGATAATTACATTATATTATGTATGCTACAAGGAGAGAGGAGACAGGGGATATAATTACATTACATTCTGTATGCTACAAGGAGAGTGGAGACAGGGGATATATTTACATTATATTATGTATGCTACAAGGAGAGTGGAGAGAGGGGATATACTTACATTATATTATGTATGCTGCAAGGATAGTGGAGACAGGGGATATAATTACATTATATTATGTATGCTTCAAGGAGAGTGGAGACAGGGGAGATAATCACATTACATTATGTATGCTACAAGTAAGGATTTACATACCGTCATATTTTCTGTTCTATTTTCATTGATTTTCAGTCACAATGATATTATCTTGATAAATATGTGAATACAATATGTGATTGGTGGATGACAGTTGAGAAAATAACATTAAATGTGAAATTCAACAAACATCATATTTCACACAAAATAAATGGAATACGATGTTGTATCGTGTTTACTATATAAAGGATGTTTAAGTTGCTTATTTTTGCAAATATGTTATAATTGTGAAAAAAGCTTATTGCAGAAAATAAATATTTCCTGACCTTTTTAAGAGACTCTCCCTATTTTAAAACCAGAATACATTTAATTTCACATACCTTTAATGCAAAATATCCATTTGTTTATAAAACACTAACGTAAGATTCAAAGAGACAATAGACAAGTCCTATATGTCTTTTAGCTCAACTATTGCTCTATTGGATTTTATTTTGTACTTATCTCCCTTCCCTTTCCTCATTACTGGGTATATACGATAATCTGTTAATGCTGCTCAACACCTAAAGTAGACCTGTTAAGTTGGCATAACCAGAAAACCTGAATTCAGTTCCAAATTGACATGTTACCCTGATTAACCTTAATACTCCAAGGTATCTCAATAATTGCCCTTTTAATTAATGTTTTAGCTGGTTTACATACAAAACCAGTTACTGAGAGGCAAACAAGCAATTCTTTTATTGAAGTAAGTCCTGAGATAAGCATCATCTATGTTATATTTCTATCACCTTTTAATCAAAACACTGCTTCTTTACTTGGATGTTAATGACACCTCAAAAGATATCTGGGTTCTGATGTTTCCAAATGCTTGAGTAAGTGGGGCTTAATAAACTGTTATTGATTAAAGAGCATTCTTTGATTATTTTGAGATAATGAGGGAAAAAAGACTGCAAAAATTACACTGTATAGAAGGGAACATTTTGTGTCAGAATTTGACTGGTACATGTGATTCTTGTGCTGCCTTTCAGCTTGTAAGTATGCTCGCGGTCAGTGGGGAGAATGTGACCCCAGTACAAAGCTGAAGGAGAGGGTGGACACCCTCAAAACATCAGTCAGCAAGGACTTCTGTGAGAGCACCAGGAAAATACACAAAAAGTGTGGCAAGAAAGCCAAGAAGAGCAAGAAAGGTAAATCTTGAGCAAGTCCAACCACCCAAAAAGACAACTCTATCATTGCGACCTATTTACTTAATATGTCCTATAGATAGTATTGTGACCTCTATCTACTTTAATATGTCCTATAAATAGCATTGTGACATATTTACTTAATATGTCCTATAAAAAGTGTAATGACCTATTTATATGATACATCCATTTAAATAGTATTATGACCTATTTACCTAATATGTCCTATAACTTGCCTTGTGACCTATTTATGTCCTATAGCTTGCCTTGTCCGACCTATTTATGTCATATAGCTTGCCTTGTGACCTATCTATGTCCTATAGCTTTCATTTTGACCTATTTATGTCCTATAATTGCATTGTGACCTATTTATGTCCTATAGCTTGCCTTGTGATCAATTTATGTCCTATAGCTTGCATTGTGACCTATTTATGTCCTATAGCTTGCATTGTGACCTATTTATGTCCTATAACTTGCCTTGTGACCTATTTATGTCCTATAGCTTGCCTTGTGACCTATTTATGTCCTATAGCTTGCATTGTGACCTATTTATGTCCTATAATTGCATTGTGACCTATTTATGTCCTAGAGCTTGCAATTGTGACCTATTTATGTCCTATAACTTGCATTGTGACCTATTTATGTCCTATAACTTGCCTTGTGACCTATTTATGACCTATAACTTGCATTATGACCTATTTATGTCTTATAGCTTACCTTGTGACCTATTTATGTCCTATAAATTGCGTTGAGACTCTTCTGTTTTCCTGATTTAAACATTCTAACAAGTTTTGGATACAACACACACATCCTCAAATTCTTATTCAATATCAAATAATGTATATTTGAATGGCAGTGCCCTTTTAGCCTATCAGGTAGATGAGTATCTAGTTTTTAAAGGACAGTTGCTAAAATTCAAAATGTATTATAGTTTCCTGAGTAAAGGGTCTCTGAAGTACCCCCTTATATCACTGATGATTGGTGGAGCTCTGCCTGATCTGAGTGTTGTGTGTTAATCTCCCTGTATTTGTCACTTAAATCACTGATGAAGAGGATTTGTTTATATTACTGAGGAAGGAAGAAAGGTGAGATCAAAGTCTGTTATTATTGTTGGGGAATGGCTCCAAATCAATGGTGATCAGACTGTCACTGTTTAGGGGGAAGGAGATTGAAAATCTAGAACTGTCGTCAAGAAATGTCTCCAAATTATTGATGATTGAGTTGATGATTTGGTACACTCTCATTGGTAGGGAAGGGAAGGGTGGCAAGGAGAATGTACAGTATTATTGATTGGTAGTAACGATGGAGGAAAAGAGGAATCTGATATTGAGGATCAACATATTGCTGTTTATGGGTGAAATGGACGGAGGATAACTATACGGTTGATCAAAGTTTTGTAAAGAGGAGGAGGAGTTGAAGGATAGATTTACAAGATCGATTAATGTTTTAAATCAACAAGATCAACATGTGTTGTCTATGAGGAAGGGATGGCTGATATATCTACAAGATCAACAGGTTTTGTCTAGTGGGAAGGGATGGATGATAGATCTACAAGATCAACATGTGTTGTCTATGAGGAAGGGATGGCTGATATATCTACAAGATCAACAGGTTTTGTCTAGTGGGACGGGATGGATGATAGATCTACAAGATCAACAGGTCTTGTCTAGTGGGAAGGGATGGATGATAGATCTACAAGATCAACAGGTGTTGTCAAAGGGTAAGGAATGAACGATAGATATACAAGATCAACAGGTTTTGTCTAGTGAGAAGGGAATGGATGATATATCTACAAAATCAACAGGTGTTGTCTAGGGGAGAAGGATGGATGATAGATCTACAAAATCAACAGGTGTTGTCTAGGGGAGAAGAATGAATGATATATCTACAAGATCAACAGGTTTTGTATAGGGGGAAGGGATGGATGATAGATCTACAAAATCAACAGGTGTTGTCAAGCGGAGGAAAATAGATGATAGATCTACAAGATCAACATCTGAGTTAACCTCTGACCCTGTCAAACACATACAACAGGTGTTGTCAGTTGGAAAAGGATGGATGATAGATCAACAAGATAAACAGGTGTTGTCTAGGGGGAAGGGATGGATGATAGATCTACAAGATCAACAGGTGTTGTGTAGGGGGGATGGATGGAAGATAGATCTACAAGATCAACAAGCATATTTTTTATTGGGAAAAAAAGATAGATCACAATGTTGTTTAGGGGAGATGGGGATGCATCACCATGTTGTTAAGGAGAGATGGGGATGCATCACAATGTTGTTTAGGGAAGATGGGGATGGATCACAATGTTGTTTAGAGGAGATGGGGATGGATCACAATGTTGTTTAGGAGAGATGGGGATGGATCACAATGTTGTTTAGGAGAGATGGGGATGGATCACAATGTTGTTTAGGGGAGATGGGGATGGATCACAATGTTGTTTAGGGGAGATGGGGATGGATCACAATGTTGTTTAGGGGAGATGGGGATGGATCACAATGTTGTTTAGGGGAGATGGGGATGGATCACAATGTTGTTTAGGGGAGATGGGGATGGATCACAATGTTGTTTAGGGGAGATGGGGATGGATCACAATGTTGTTTAGGGGAGATGGGGATGGATCACAATGTTGTTTAGGGGAGATGGGGATGGATCACAATGTTGTTTAGGGGAGATGGGGATGGATCACAATGTTGTTTAGGGGAGATGGGGATGGATCACAATGTTGTTTAGGGGAGATGGGGATGGATCACAATGTTGTTTAGGGGAGATGGGGATGGATCACAATGTTGTTTAGGGGAGATGGGGATGGATCACAATGTTGTTTAGGGGAGATGGGGATGGATCACAATGTTGTTTAGGGGAGATGGGGATGGATCACAATGTTGTTTAGGGGAGATGGGGATGGATCACAATGTTGTTTAGGGGAGATGGGGATGGATCACAATGTTGTTTAGGGGAGATGGGGATGGATCACAATGTTGTTTAGGGGAGATGGGGATGGATCACAATGTTGTTTAGGGGAGATGGGGATGGATCACAATGTTGTTTAGGGGAGATGGGGATGGATCACAATGTTGTTTAGGGGAGATGGGGATGGATCACAATGTTGTTTAGGGGAGATGGGGATGGATCACAATGTTGTTTAGGGGAGATGGGGATGGATCACAATGTTGTTTAGGGGAGATGGGGATGGATCACAATGTTGTTTAGGGGAGATGGGGATGGATCACAATGTTGTTTAGGGGAGATGGGGATGGATCACAATGTTGTTTAGGGGAGATGGGGATGGATCACAATGTTGTTTAGGGGAGATGGGGATGGATCACAATGTTGTTTAGGGGAGATGGGGATGGATCACAATGTTGTTTAGGGGAGATGGGGATGGATCACAATGTTGTTTAGGGGAGATGGGGATGGATCACAATGTTGTTTAGGGGAGATGGGGATGGATCACAATGTTGTTTAGGGGAGATGGGGATGGATCACAATGTTGTTTAGGGGAGATGGGGATGGATCACAATGTTGTTTAGGGGAGATGGGGATGGATCACAATGTTGTTTAGGGGAGATGGGGATGGATCACAATGTTGTTTAGGGGAGATGGGGATGGATCACAATGTTGTTTAGGGGAGATGGGGATGGATCACAATGTTGTTTAGGGGAGATGGGGATGGATCACAATGTTGTTTAGGGGAGATGGGGATGGATCACAATGTTGTTTAGGGGAGATGGGGATGGATCACAATGTTGTTTAGGGGAGATGGGGATGGATCACAATGTTGTTTAGGGGAGATGGGGATGGATCACAATGTTGTTTAGGGGAGATGGGGATGGATCACAATGTTGTTTAGGGGAGATGGGGATGGATCACAATGTTGTTTAGGGGAGATGGGGATGGATCACAATGTTGTTTAGGGGAGATGGGGATGGATCACAATGTTGTTTAGGGGAGATGGGGATGGATCACAATGTTGTTTAGGGGAGATGGGGATGGATCACAATGTTGTTTAGGGGAGATGGGGATGGATCACAATGTTGTTTAGGGGAGATGGGGATGGATCACAATGTTGTTTAGGGGAGATGGGGATGGATCACAATGTTGTTTAGGGGAGATGGGGATGGATCACAATGTTGTTTAGGGGAGATGGGGATGGATCACAATGTTGTTTAGGGGAGATGGGGATGGATCACAATGTTGTTTAGGGGAGATGGGGATGGATCACAATGTTGTTTAGGGGAGATGGGGATGGATCACAATGTTGTTTAGGGGAGATGGGGATGGATCACAATGTTGTTTAGGGGAGATGGGGATGGATCACAATGTTGTTTAGGGAAGATGGGGATGGATCACAATGTTGTTTAGGGGAGATGGGGATGGAACACAATGTTGTTTAGGGAAGATGGGGATGGATCACAATGTTGTTTAGGGGAGATGGGGATGGATCACAATGTTGTTTAGGGGGATGGGGACTAGATGTGCTAAAGGATGTCTCCCAATCACTGTAAAGTTGACATTATCTGTTACTAGAGGTAAGAAGATCAGGTGTTGTTTCCAGGGTTACCAATGTTCGTCCTCTTGGAGAAGGCTTTACAAACATTTCTCTCACACCTACACAGCTTTGGCTATCCAGCATTGGTCTCTGTATCATTGATAATAACCAGGAATAGTCTGGAATTGAAATTCCAGGTTCCTGATGAATGTGGAACTTTCTGTGTTAATGCGTGTCTGTGTAAGATATCACCACCAGTGATTGGCTTCATTTCGTCCAACGTGGTTAGCACCTTCACTGTGGGCTTTAATGTAGAAAGAAAGATATCAGATCAGCCATTCATTTGACTTAGAGGATCATTACATTCGAGCTCTCCAACTCATTAAGTCCTGATGGACCTATATAGCGTCTTGTCCTCAGAAGGGCTTAGTGTAGATGTCTGTTACCAAACTGCCTACTCGATTACATCCCTTATATTGGTTATCTGTTACTAAAACCAAATGATAGA